CCTCAGACCAGCAGCATCAGCACCACCCTAGAACTTGTAACAAATATAAGTTCTCGGGCTCCATTTCACCCACTGAATCAGAAGCCTGGGGGTGGAGCCTAGCAAACTGTTCAATAAGTCCTTCCAACAATTCTTATGCATGATCCCATTTGAGAACTATAGACTTATGCCATGTAGCACAGCCTGCATAAAATTATTGCTTATACCCACTGCAGAGAGTACTTGAGTTCTGTTGGGTGTCTTTTAAAAATCTGTGAGGTTTTTTTTGTCATTTTTGAACATATATATTACTGATACATGGTCATTTGACATACGACCACAGAATCACTTGCAGGAGGGGTTAGAAGGCAGACAGGCTGAGGGTGGAAGCTCAGATTCACCACCTAATGGTATATATTCTTGGCAAGTTACATAACCTTTGTGACTTTCAAATTCCTCCTCTGTAAAAATGAAAATAAAAATGATGAGATCATGCACTAAATGATGAAAAGCACTGTATTCCAATGTCTGAAATGTAACAAATACTCAACGAAGTAAATATAGTTTTCATTACGATTATCATTATTAAAGACAATGTTAGTAACATAATTAATTGCATGAGTAGTGAGGTTTATGTATTATGCATGTTACAAAGCTACAAAGATGCTACTCTGCTTATTAATTTTTCCAATTTCCACATAAATTTCTAATTCAACTTACAAAATCCCACAATGTACCAAGCACTCTGTTGTTTGATGATATTTTTAAAGTAGAGTGATAATGCTAGTTTTCAATTTATTTGTTAGGGAATAGATATCACTATCTATTAAATAATTTTCTTAATTAAATATTTTAGATCTTCATCTCTATTGGCTTAAAAGTTTAAATTGAACTTTTTAACATTATTTTGAAAATGACACATTATCACAATATTAAGAGGCTGTGTTATTGTGGATGCATTTAATTTCAGGTTAAATTTTTTTATTCAAAGAAAACCTCATATTGCCATATTGTGATTTCTGTATAGATAACTGTACAATCTCAACAGTGTTTTGATACAGAGGTTTTCAAATAGGAATTCATCTGCAGTTCCCTATATATATGTTCCCTATATCTTACTCAGTGAAGCTTAGACCAATTATTTATTGTTTATTTGCTCCAACCAGTGAAAGAAACTAATAGCTGTCACTTTTATTATGATTTTTATACAGACAAAAAGGCTAGCATCTTTTCGGTCTTTTTTTTTAGAGTGAAATTTTCAGATTTCCAACCTCCTTTTGTATCTCATGTTGTCAAGATCTTTTTATCTTTTGTATTGTTCTCTACAGAATGCTTAGCAATTTGCCTCTTTTCTGAAATGTGGTGTCTGCTGAACTTAGTCCCCAATTCACAGCCTAACAAGACCTGAATGTAGCTCAATCTGTTCTTATGCATGACTTCATCATTACAATCGGAAGCACTGCAGCATTTGAATATTTTAACAGGGATCAGAATGTCAAGTCTTTCAATTTATCATGCACTGTATTTCTTGAATTTGTCTCTCTGCCGCTACCATCTATAGCTTTTCATCATACTTTTTCAGTTCCATTACCATGCTCTGCATCAACTTTCATATCGACCCCATTTTTCTGAACCCAATGTCACTGAATTAAACTGTCTCCCCAGCATATCAAGATTAGACTACAGCACAGTACCCCCAAAATTTGCAATCCCTGCTACTTCCATGAGTCACTGTCCTTTAGATTTATTAGCACAAATATAGAGCATCTTCCAAAATATTTCTTAGAGATATTTATTTATTTATTTATTTATTTATTTATTTATTTACTTTCAGAGAGCAGAGAAGGGAAGGCGAAAAACATCAACGCACAGGAGAAACATTGATGGGTTGCCTCTCGCATGCTCCCAGCTGGGGACCTGGCCTGCAACCCAGGCACGTGCCCTGACCTGAATACGGTCTGCACACTGGCGGTCAAAACAGTGAGCCACACCAGCCAGTGCCCAAAATATTATATAAGTATGTTACTTCATTACCTTGGAGTTTTTTAAATGATTTTTAAGGCTCAACTTAAAAACAAGCAAACAAACAAAACTGACTGTTCCATTGTTTCCCTCACATTTAAAAGAAAATTTGGTGCGCTCTCCCTCTCAGAAATAAACTCACATCTTTCATCCCTCCCAGGCATGCCTCTCCTAAACTTTGAGGGTCCCTAGGAGACTTGCAACCAGGGGACAATGGGCTGCGGTAGCCTGTCCTGGGCTAACCTCCTGAACCTGTGTCCGAGGCCCCTTTTCTCTGACTTTTCAGGGAGCCAAAGCAGCCCCGCCCAGGCTCTCTCCTGGCGCTTCTTCTGTCCTAGCCCCTTCCTTGTTTCACTGTCCCCAGATTTAATGAACTTACTCTCAAAATTAAAATAATAATAATAATAATAATAAATAGAAAAGAAAAAGAAAACTTGCAGTCCCATTTCTTGACTCAGTGTAAGAAAATTAATCTCAGAAAAAAAAAAGAAAGCTAAATTCAGTGCCAACTACAGGATTGCCTTATTGTTTTATTATTAAGCTGTCATCCAAAAAAATACAAATTCAACCACTGATCTTCACACATAGGTAGCTCAGTGAGTATCATTTACTCTCGCTACAGGAGGTTGCTTGTGTATGATGTAGCATGTCATACAGTTAGTTGAGCAAATCTTAGTAAACACAGAGTTAGTTTCACTTAGTATGTTTACTCACCTAGTAACAAATGAAAGCAAAGCAGGAGAATATAAAAGTGACTAAGGAAATAACAAAAGGAACTTAAAAGTATTAGGCTTAAATATAATTATTTTACCACAAATAAATGGCAGAGTTATTAAAACCAGTATGAGCTGACACCTTATAAATGAACTTCATTTATAAGGAATTATGGAGGTGATGGATTCTTCAAATTAGAAAGTCAAAAATTACTTCACTCATGTGAAACATCAATCCGTGTACTTTCCTTCTGCCAGGAACACCCATCTACCCACTTTATATCTTCATCACATGCACTACCCTCGCCTTTGGTCCAGCTTCATCCATCTAACAGTCCTACTCATCCTTCCTGAGGCAGAATGTGATTCCTCCAAGGCAGGAATCCCTCCCTTCTTTCTGTTTTCACCCTGTTCTTGCTTCAAAGTGCAACCATTTGTTGATAGAGCTCTACCTTCTATTACTTTTGAGCTCTGCCTCTTCTCTTTGCTTTCCAGCTACCAGCTGGTATTGAGAATCACTCAATAAAACTTTATTAAATAAGTGAATTACTTAAAAAATAGCAATTTACCAAGAGCTATATTTTTAAATGCAGGAAGTGATAGTAGGCTTGAAGACTTGAGAGAAATTACAGTAATGCAATGGTGTGTGTGAATCTAATTTTAATAAATGGTAAGAATATATGTTAACAGAAGTAAATTTCATTAAAGGGTTAAAAAACAGCTCTCAGCCCTGAGACAAGGCTTGTATCATTAGAAAGAAAAGAATCAAACCAAAAACAAAGGGAGGAAAGCAGAGACTAGAGTCTTTAAATGATATATTTCACCTTTTTTTCTCATATGTATATATGATTATATATCTTAATAAAATTTGGGAAGCAGTGATTTTTTGGATAAATATTTATGTTTTCATAGCTTAAATATATGTAGTAGAATTAAAGAAGGTAATAAAAACAGGAAAAAGTTTTTTATAATATTTTTAAGTCTGATATAACAGTTTTCAGAAAACTTAGCAAAAAAAAAAAACAACCATTAATAAAAGTTTAAAAATGAAGATGCTTTAGCTCTAGAGAAGGCTGATCACAAGATTTAATTACTGTCTTCAAGCATATGTTGGATCAATTGAGAGATGATAATGATAAAATATTTTTCTCAGCTCAGTAAAAGACCAGAAATGATTAACTTAAAGGGCAAACAGGAAAACGCTCAAGAAGGTGAGATATTATGATGACAAATTACTAAGTAATACAGTGAAAAGTTTCCCTTACAAAGTTTTAAAGCAGAATAGCTACCTTTTGATCTGGAGACAGATATGATGCGTAAATTTAATAATACTCAACAAGACCATATCAATTGTTTCATAAGTATGTTATATGCTCTGTGGTTCTCTGTGTTCATCAAGAACAAATTCCCTCCTTTGTTGTCCATGGAGTCATCCCAGGCACTCAGACAAGGTACAAGCCCACTGTGGCTGGTAGAACAGAATCATCTGAACTACTTGTCCCCCTAGCTCCTCACCTTTCTCATCAAACACACCTTAACACAGTGGTCAAAGACTGGAGAGGATTGATTATAAATTACCCAAAGTGCAAAAAGCAATGGTAACTAATGGTCCTTGGAAATATAGAGCCACCTAAGAAGGTTTATAACACTGCAGTAAGAAGATCACTAATCTCTGATTTTTTTTTACATTGAATATTCTTTTCATTAATATTAACAAGTGACATTTAGTATATTTTTTATCAAAAGTAATTCTATTAAATAATGTTAATACCCATAATGTATTAAAATACTGTACTGTGAAATTCCAAGATAAGATATAAGTTTAAGGTCTTTGTCAAGGGTCACTGAAAGAGTAAAGGTATTTTTTATAACCTTTCTGTTTTCAGTTTTTATTATTAACATTATACTACTTTGTTTATATCATATGCTTGCAGTTGTTTAATGAATAAATGCCACAACCTTTATAAACAACCTTAGACTTTGGCCTACATTTAATTATTTTGTTCTCATGGGAGAGCTAAGCTATCAATATCAAAATAAAATGACACCTAGATATGATGAATAAGGGCCTAATTTTAGAGAGCTATTTCAAAACTCAATAAAACTTTGCAAAGACAAGTGCATTGTGGCTTTTATGCTATTGCCTTGTAAACTGTGAACCCAAACCAAAGTTCTGCAGGGTTTTTCTTGTCTTTATTTTCTGCATGTGATAAACGGAATGCTTCCACGGAGGATCTGAAAGCGGTATTATACCATACAAAAAAATCAGGATTTGGTTCAATTTACCTGTTTCTGTTGCTGGAAATCCAGTCCGAAATGAGTGTTGAAGCCTGTTGGTGACAGTGCTTGTTGCCAAAACTGCATGCCAGCATTATAACTTCTCGACGCAGTTCTCTTATGTGCCATCAAAAGGGGAAAAAAAATTAAAGCAGTTTTAGTATCGAGGGATAAAGCATAACTCATTACATTACACTGCAGTACGTAAGTAAATAATTAACAGAAAAATAGATCTCAACTTCGGAAATCCTATTTTGTGGAGTAAAAGACAGACAAAGTAAAAGTTAATCATACTAAAAGTCTGCCCTTGAAACAGTACTACAGTGTGGGGCATGGGTTCAGATCTCAACTTGGTCAATAAAGGCAGATCTGGAATTAATACATAGCAAGGAAGTGCCTTTGTTCTCAGTACCAGGGGGTGGCCACTATATTCGCCATCGGCAGTCCTCTCAGGTAAGGGCAGTGAAAGGTGCAAAATGAATGAAGATCATCTCATGCTGCTAAAATCACAATGGTACCAGTAGTATGTTATTGTACAAAACAGTTCTGGGGAGAAGGAGCAAATAGTAAAATAAAACAGTACTCATGTTGGTAGGATGCTTGAACAAGAGATCCATTAAAATTATTTTTTGGCCATCCAAGCTTGATGTACGTTGTTGCAACTTGCTTTAAAATATATTCCTAAATGGGAGTAGGGGAAATAAAGATGTCAGTTCCATATCTCTCCATTATGACAACTAAAATTATATAAGAAACTAAAATACTTTCTAAATGTACCTACTTTAAAATATCAGTAAAATTTTGGGTATGATAACTTTATTCAACTTAGTATTTCAAATATAGAAAATAAGAATAAAATACGATTGCAAGGGTGGAAGTCTACTCTTTATTTCTCATTGAACAATGAAGTAATTTGCACTATTATTTTCAATGAAAATTTTTGCAGCAAAACAAGGACACTAAGAAATGTTGATGATGACACTCATGCATAGATATATACGAGTTATGTAGATAAAGCTTGCAAACATGAATATCTAATATTTGTACATTTTACATCAATAGAGCATATTTAATGCAAGCTTACTATGAAAGCTTAGCATTCTTAAACCTGACATGCATAGAACACACTTAAGTAAAATGACAGTATTTCAAAGTCAATAACCCATTCCATTAATAATACATTTAAATATCAGTAGCAATATAAGGTATACTCTCCTCAGTTTAATGCAGTCCTGAATTTTGTCAAAAGAACAGAAGCACTGAAATTATAGTGAAAGCAGTTCCTAACTTTTCCAGAAATTGAGGTGTCTGACCTGATATACTAAAGTACAAATATATACAAAAATATATTTCACTTTTACAAAAGTTTAATATTGCAGAGTCTTTGTGTTGAGAAAAGAGAAATTTAAGTCCAGCATATAAAAATTATGCCATAACTGTAATAACACATTTCTTTGCACATCTGCTTTAAGGGCTTAGACAAAACTAACAGTCAATCCAGGATTATTCCTATTAAAAAAAATAAAATAGAGGTGTTTTCATTTAGGTTATAAGATAAAAAGAAGCAATTTTGATGGCCATCAGACAATTTAGATGCTTCTAATAAACCAGACTTTATTAGATCTGGTCATGGTAAGTCCAAATGTGTAGGTTAAGTAGCAGAGCCAGTATGCTGTAAGAGATAGAATGATTTTATGAAACATAGGAAAGACTCTTAAAACTAAGTGTACATAAGTAGTGCTCAAAGTTGATAGAAAGCACAGAGAGATATTCTCACAGGCAGAGTCTCTCTGGTGATAAAACATTTAGGAATCAAAAGCTCATTAGCAGTACTTAATCCTAATCTTATCCAAAGTGATCATTACATGAGATTAGGTGGAGTCAGCAGTGCAATTTTTGTTTACCAGGCTTCCAGTTTAGGAAATCCGGTCAGGTAACATTTCAGAATGTTTGTCATGTCTTCATGTCTATTTGGATTATCTGTTGTTTGCTTTCTTGTGTCCCGTTGGACCCAATTATGAATGGGCTTTTGCCTCAATGTTGATCTTATCCTTGTTAATTAAGGAAGTGAATTGAATTCACTATGTCCTTCTGGATAAAAATAATGACTAAGAGCCTTTGCTGAAACTGTCTATATTCTGTTAAGATCTTTGCAATCCCTCTACCCAGGTTAAGTCCTTTGTGAACATAGAACCCCTTAACTCTTGGAAAGTAAATTTGAACTTTAAGTATTTGCCATGTATATTTTTTTTTAAATTCTGAGGCATTTAAGCTTAACGGACATGTTGAGGCCAGAACAAAAATTAGCTTGTATTAAATTTCTCCTTCAAGTAATTGTCATCACTGTTGCAGAGAAAATCAGGACAAAAATAATAACATGAATTGGAAGGAACTAAAATAACACAGAATCAGTTGAATATAGTAGATAATGAGAAAATACTTTATGATGTGAAAATAGAAAGAAGAAAATATATCTTTTTACATTGAAGACATTGTATTTCTCCATGCGGTCCAGTAATTTATCTAGAGGATAAAGAGCTCGGCTGGCAGCATGCCAAGGAAGAAAATCCTTCTCCTCAGACAGGTATCTGATAATCTCCAGGGGAATATTCTGAGGCAAATAGCCAGCTCTGCACCGTCAAAAAAAAAAAAAAAAAAAAAAAATTGAATGTTAATTATATGCAAAAAAGGTACATAATGATGCAAAAATGAAGATTTTACTTATGCAAATAAAAGGCAGAAAGCAAGATTCATCACAGTGTAAAGAAGCAATATTCAGTGTTTTAAAAACAAAATTACTCACTTTTTAAAAATAGCCCTACTCAGAATGTCAATGCCCCTTAATATGCAGAGTTGGAGAGCTAAAGATTTACTTGAACACAAAAATATTAAAATGCATGTTTTTCAAGTATATTTTATTGATTATGCTAATATAAAATGTCCCATTTTTTTTCCTCCTCTTTATCCCTCTCTGCCCAGTACCCCTATTCCCTCCACTTAGTTCATGTCCATGGTTCATACATATAAATTCTTTGGTTTCTCCATTTCCTATGCTATTCTTAACTTCCCCCTTTCTATTTTGCACCTACCAATTATGCTTCTTATTCTCTGTACTTTTTCCCCCCATTCTTCCCCTCCTCCCCGCTGATAACCCTCCACGTGATCTCCATTTCTGTGATTCCATTCCTGTTCTAGTTATTTGCTTAGTTTGTTTTTGTTTTTGTTTCTTTAGGTTCAGTTGTTGATGGTTGTGAGTTTGTTGTCATTTTACTCTTCATAGTTTTGATCTTCTTTTTCTTAGATAAGTCCCTTTAACATTTCATATAATAAGTGCTTGGTGATGATGAACTCTTTTAACTTTCGCTTATTTGGGAAGCACCTTATCTTCCCTTCCATTCTAAATGCCAGCTTTACTGGATAACATTTACTTGACAGCTTTACAGTAATCTTGGATTTAGGTCCTTGTTTTTCATGACTTTGAACACTTCTTGTCTGTCCCTTGTTGCTATAAGGTTTCTATTGAGAAATCAGCTGATATTCTCATAGGAACTCTCCTCTTTCCTCTTGCTGCTTTGAGGATTATCTCCTTATCTTTAATCTTGGATAATGTAATTACAATGTGTCTGAGCGTGTTCCTCTTTGGGTTCAACTTTTTGGGGACTCTCTGAGCTTCCTAGACTTGTATGCCTATTTCCTTCACCAGATTGGGAAGTTTTCTCTCATAATTTTTTTCAAGTAAGTTTTCAATTTCTTGCTCTTCCTCTTCTCCTGGCACTACTACGATTTGGATGTTGGAATGTTTAAAGTTGTCCTGTAAGTTCCTAAACCTAGCCTCAGTTGTTTTTTTGTTTTTTTTGGTTTTTTTTTTTTTGAATTCTTGTTTCTTCATTCTGTTCAGTTGAATGTTTTTATTTCCTTTTGTTCCAAATCATCGATTTGAGTCCTGGTTTCCTTCCCTTCACTGTTGGTTCCATGTATATATTTCTTTATTTCACTTTATATAGCCTTCACTTTTTCCAGTATTTTGTAGTGGTACTGAACCATTTCTGTGAGCATCCTGATTACCAGTGTTTTGAATTCTGCATCTGATAGGTTGGCTATCTCCTCATCACTTAGTTCTTTTTCTGGATTTTTGATCTGTTCTTTTATTTGGGCCATATTTCTTTATCTCAGTGCACCTGTTATGTTATAAGGAGAGGAGTCTTAGGTATTCACCAGGGTGGGGCAACCCACTTGTAGTGTTGTGGTGCTGTATGTGGGGGAGGGATCAGAGAGGGAGCAATGCCACTTGCTCAGCCCTCACCCCACTTTCAGTGACTTCCCCTGCTTCCCACAAGCAAATTATTAATTATTGCATTTCAGGTGCTGCCCTGGTGTTGATTGCTGAGTAGGTGGGCTTGTGTACTGGACCCCATGGGCACCTCCAATGGACTCTCCTGAGAGACTGAGAGTTTCTCCTGCCACTACAATCTCCACAGGTTTTTACAGCCAGAGGTTTTGAGGCTTTATTTTTTCTCATGCCGGAACCCTGAGTTGTTCAACCTGTCTCCTCCTGGTTTATCCACATGCAAATTTGGGACGACCTGGTGGCAACCTGGCTCTGCATCCTCTCCACCCGTACTTCCCATCTTTACCCCTCCTACCGGTCTGGATGAGTGTTTCTCCTTTAACTCCATGGTTGTTGGACTTCCCTACAGTTTGATTTTCAGGCAGTCCTGGTTGTTTTTTGTTTTTAAATTTGTTGTTGTCCATCTTTTGGTTGTGTTAGGAGGCAAAGTGTACCTACCTATGCCTCCATCTTGGCTGGAAGTCTGATTCTTTCATAATGCATGGTTTTAGAAAGAAAAAAATTGTGAAACTTGAATAAAATCAACTCTAGGTATGTTCCTTCTCAGAAACTCTTCAGAGGTCACAAGTTATTGAAAATAATTGATTACTGAAATAAAATTTTGGTTCCTCTGGCATTCTCTCTACCTTTCATGCAACTCTGTGTACTAATATTTAATACAGATTGCTTTCAAAATGATTACAAAATCAAAGTGGCATCTTAAAATTTTGAGTGTAACTGTTACCTTATAATTTAAATATTTTCCAAACCTGCCTGGGTTTTTTTTTATGCTTTCCACGGCACCTACAAAAATCAGAAACATAGCTTCCAATATTTCAGATTTTGTAGTTTGTTTCCTTTGAACTTTTTATTCTAAATATGAATTAGCATAGCAATAATAAAATTTCCTCCTCTAAAATTATATAATATACACCTCATGGATTATACAATTTTAGAGTTGAAAATGATTTATCTAGAAGCCATTATTATTTTTAAGAAATTAGAAAAATACTGCATTTTCTCAGAGATTTAAACACACTAGCCTTATGTCAGTTAAAATTTATTGTGTTTTTCATCTTTATAAACGGATGAACATTATTCAATGATGTATGCTTTGTATGCAACATGTCTACAAATAAAAAGATGACAACTAGTGTTACAGAAAAAAGACTTTCCTTGAGAAAGAGTCTGAAATGGAGAAAGCCTGAAACCACTAATGCTCCCTGTGCAATTAGACAAATAAATTCATCTCTGCAAGCCTCACATTCCTTATCTGCAAAATAAGAGGGCTGAAGTAAGATACATTTTGTTTTAGCTTCAAGAACCTTTTATTATAACCAACTTATCTACAATTTAGTCTGCTGAGAAACAATTACAGTAACATGGGCATAATTTACTTAAGAAGTTGAAAAAAATACTTTGTAATTTTTATACTTCCCATTATTTAATTGTTTAATATGTACAACTCTAAGAGTCAAGGCTTGGATCTAGGTTTTATAAGACACTGTATAGTGTAAAGAAAATAAAAGTAAAGCAAGCTTGATAGAAATTTCAAATAATGTCAAGTCACGTAAAGTATTCATTAGGTAGAGAGAGGGAGCAAGTCCCATATTGAGTCCTTATGGCAAAAATTGTTCACTGCTTACCAAAATCGGTGCTTTCCGTCGCTTCTTAGCAGAGACCATAATACCCATTTCCTTGGTTGTTAGGTGCAGTTATGTGACTAAGATCGAGACAGAATATGAATGCTCCTCACTGCCAGGGTTAGCTCATAGAGATGTCTCATTCACTCCTCTTGTTCTTTTTCCATGAAAGGAATCTTCCAGGTAGGTGTGGAACTCTTCATTGAATGCATCAGACACCTACCTGGGTCTCTGGAGGGCTGCATGCCCAAGTGCCAGTTCTCACACCCAATTCCATTATGTAACCAGTATACACATATCTATTGTATTTGATCCTACTACAAATTTGGGTTCATTTTTTTAAAGCAGTTAACCTTCTCTAATGCAGTCTTCAGATAGAATAAAAAACAGATAACACTCAAATTGCCCTTCTTTTGTGCTCTTACAAATATAGACAATTACTTACTACATAATTCAATACACAGGGTATGGCACAAATAACGCCCCCTTTTTATTTCAAAACCTTTTATTACAAAATCATAAGCATGTAATTCTGTAACATAACAATATCACACTCAAGCACACCATGATATTTTAGGTGAATTTTTCAAATTAAAACTATAAATCATTACACCCATATTATTACCCTACCAACCACACCCAAGCAGGCCTTATTTGTTGGGCCCTGTATTTGCATTTAGCTTTCTAGATCAAAATATGTAGCTATTCTCAATTGGCCAAGAGGAGGATCAGCTTCATTACAAAATTAAGGCTTATAAAAGATAATCTTGCTGAATAAGTTACTAGTTTAGAGAGATATGTGTTTGTGTAATTGGCTAGTAATGATATCTGTGATTACTAATGCTGATAATGCAATCAATAAAAGGAAAGTGTGTGGAATGCAGTGAATGGAACACTACATTAGCACAAAGTAATCAGCCCAGTAGGAAATACACTTAGGGTCCTGACACTGAAATGCAGTTTCTCCAAATTTGCATCATCACAGGGAAATGTCACTAACAAAAGAGGGAGGAAAATAGCAAATTTAAAGAATATATCATGCATAACTAAATGTGTTTTATTACTATTTTAAGAAGAAGTTCTAGATAATGTCCATCTTCTCTCCTATTGGGGTGGAGTTGGCATACAAAATGATTTAGGAATCAAAGAAAAGACAATGGGGAAGAAAGTCAAATGAAAAAAGTTAAAGAAATAGATAAAAGATTGCCTATATGCCACTACACAGTTCCTCCTCCCATCCCCTCAACACCCCGCACACACACACTCCCTCCCTCCTCTTTCTCCAATTTATAGGAGCCTGCAATAAAATATATCTCTTGTCATACAAGAGATTATTTTTTATAAGAAGGAAGTTAAAATAAGACAGTATTAGCTGATGTTACAATGCAATGATCTTAACTGGTTTATCTTCACCTAAGATCAAAAACTCCTTTTTAAAACCCTCTGAATTCCTGTCAATGTTAACTCTTCAATCTACCAAGATAGGTGGCTTGTACACAAATAACCTATTTTACTATGAATTTTCTTTAAAATCAGTTGGTTTCTGAGTGCTTGAAACTTATGAGAAAATAAAAAGTACAATCCTCAGACTCTTCAGAGCATCATACTCCCATCGTCATTAATTGAATATTCATTTAAAACCAATAAGTAACCTGGTACA